AGTATATTGATCTGTGGCCAATCCAAATGTCCGCCGAGCTGGGGGCTGACAGTGAAAGCAAGCAAAATGTGCTGACCACTAATTTTGACACGTACACTTTGATCCTTCAACTGGGCTGTATTCTCAACACTGTTCCTTCGTGGAAGAAGACATACAAAATCCGAGTTGCGGTGTTCGTGGAGTACGAAACCGACGTGGAAGATGAAAGAGGGCGAGTTGAGGCTCTCCTTGACAAATTACGGATTGAGGCCGAAGTCTTGGTTTTCTGGCTTGCTTGTGGTGATCTTCAGGCTTATCAAACTATCGTAAATGATGACGCTTCGGTCACAGCTGATACCCGAGAGAGGGTTAATTCCGCTCTACAGGGAGAGGACTGGTGGCAAGGCGTCTTACGAGCTCGTGCCCTGAATCAAGAACCAGATTCGGACAGAACCAGTGACAGTCTTCATCTTGATAAGGCATATACGTGGCAAGGACCATCGAGCCAAGACAATGGAGCCAGACCTTTACACCAAAGAGTGACTGGCTTGAGGAAACTGATCCAGTCCACTCGTCGCAGACGATCTGTCTCCAGCTTCCGGGCTTTAGGAGGAGTGAACCTCGGTATGCAAACGCATCGCTTGCTAGATGCGTTTGTCGACTACGACAGCTCCGATAGTACGAATGAGAGCGAAGACAGTGATTTGGAGGCGTATGTCAGCGATCCAGAACCAGAAGACGGTGGAGAAGACATAGTCAATTCTCGAAATGAGGTTGTACCCGTTTCCGGCTCTTCACGGCTCCTTGGCCGGTCCAAGACAGTTGACTACAGCCCTACTGCGGACTCCCCGAGCACACCAGTGCGTGTGAGCTCTCAAGTAGAGGAAACATCATCCTCCCGGCTAAATCCATCCGTAATTGAGACTGGCGACGATGCCTCCCCGAAAAGCAAACCTCCAGGTTTACGGCCCTCCATGAGCCGTTCTGCTTCCAGCAATCGGTTCAGCTCCTCGCCTATCCCCGAGGCCAAAGTGATCACCGAAGCCGAGGAGGGCAATGGACCATCTATCATGTTTGCGGCGCAAAACTCACCTCCCCGATTTGCAAACAAGCTAGATTCCATTTATGCTCGTCGTCCATCTGCCGTGTCTCCCACAACCCCCGGTGCTCACAGCAATACACATGCAACAGGATACCCTGGTGTAGCGTCGGTGCCATTGTCTTTCAATGATCTCCCTAGTCGAGCACAGCATCTGATTCTGAATGAGTTGATGGTCCAGCAGAGTGGTGATACCGCTGTGATCTTCACGACTCTGCCGTCTCCTGTGGAGGGGACATCGACTAGCGCGGAAGACAGTGCGTCTTATTTGAGCGACCTCGACATCCTGTGGAACGGGTTGCCCCCATGTCTTCTGGTGCACAGTAATAGCATGACTGTGACGATGAATTTGTGATGAATTGATGACTGCGAATTATATAGAACTGTGCATAGCACATGCTAGATTTTCTTAGATTGGTGGAAATATATATTTGACAGCGATGTTACGAATGTATATATTCTACCTAGGTATAGCTATTAAATTTGACTATAACATACGTTACCTGTTAAAAATAGGTGTAAATGTCATACACAAAGGCATAGAGACGATCATCCCGGCGCTACTGCACGCCACAAAATCTCTGCACCTGCGAGGATTATCATCGTATAGCAGATAAAAAAAAAGAAATCCAGAATAGTATAGATATAGAGAATGATATAGAAGAGAAGTAGAAGACCTAATTGGGCAAAATCAACACTATCAAGAAATTAAATATGACCAATTGGTATTGTTGTGGCTGTGATTGGGTGATTTCTCTCTCGTTCCCTGGTATACCCAGTAGTCTCGAGCACTTCTCCCCAACTTCTACCTTACTCCACGTCTCTTGGCTATTGGGCTCTTTGGCGATTTGGCTGTTATATTCATTCTTTACCTTCCTTTCTTCAATTCCTTGAATTATTGTCTATTTCTATCTGTTTAATTCCTAATCCCAATTCCCCCCCCCTTTTCTCGAATTCCAAGTCATGACCGAGAATGCCACCCGCCCATTGAACGGTATGGGTACAAATCCCGTTTCACGTCGTACAGTCGACTTTCACTCTGAAAGCACGGTCAAAGTCCTCCCTATTCACCCCAAGGGTGTGAACGGAAACTGTGTCCTGGACGATTCTGACAGTGCCTCCGTCTCCTCCGCCTCAGAAATACACGAAGCGATCACCAGGGAACCCAAGCGGCCGATAATGGCCCGCAAGGCCTCTTCGCCTATGGCGCCCACCTTCATGGTATCCGCGCCGGGAAAGGTTATCGTCTTTGGCGAGCATGCTGTGGTTTACGGCAAGCCTGCTATGGCCGCGGCCATCTCTCTTCGCTCCTACCTTCTCGTCACCACTCTCTCCAAATCACAGCGTACGATAACGCTGAACTTCCGGGATTTGGGTCTTAGTCACACTTGGGATATTGACACCCTGCCCTGGGACAAGTTCCACGAGCCCTCAAAAAAGAAGTTTTACTACAGCCTTGTCACCGAACTCGACCCCGAACTTGTCGACGCAATCGAACCATACCTCCAGGGCGTCTCCAAGGGCCTCCCAGAGGAGCAGCGCAACATCCACACCCGCTCCGCAGCCTCCTTCCTCTACCTTTTCCTCTCTCTAGGCTCCCCGCAAAGCCCAGGCGCTATCTACACCCTTCGATCCACCATCCCCACCGGAGCTGGCCTAGGTAGTAGTGCTAGTGTCTGCGTCTGTCTTAGTTCTGCGCTGCTTCTTCAAATTCGTACACTCGCCGGGCCCCACCCAGACCAGCCACCCGAGGAGGCAGAGACACAGATCGAGCGTATCAACCGCTGGGCATTCGTCGGAGAGCTCTGTATCCATGGCAATCCTAGCGGCGTGGATAACACAGTGGCCGCAGGCGGCAAGGCTGTGATTTTCCGGCGCGACGATTACTCGAAGCCTCCAACAGTCGTCTCGGTGCCCACTTTCCCCGAACTTCCCCTCCTACTTGTCAACACCCAACAAGCGCGTTCCACAAAGACGGAAGTCGAAAAAGTCGGAGCCCTAAGAAATGCCCATCCAATCGTGACGGAGTCAATACTTAACGGCATCGATCAAGTGACATGCTCTGCGCAACGTTTGATCGAGGACCCTAGTTTCGAGGGCATCTCTGAGGCCACCCTCGCCCACTTTGGAACCCTAATCCGTATCAACCACGGTTTCCTTGTCTCCCTAGGCGTCTCTCACCCCCGTCTCGAACGAATTCGTGAACTTGTCGATTACGCCGACATCGGTTGGACCAAGCTGACCGGTGCAGGCGGTGGCGGATGTGCGATTACCCTTCTCCGGCCTAACGCGAAGGCCGAAGTCAAGGAGGACCTCGAACAGAAGTTTGATGAGGAGGGTTTCACTACGTACGAGGTTACCCTCGGTGGTGACGGTGTTGGTGTTCTCTACCCGGCCGTCCTACGTAATGGCTCGGACGAAGAGGGTGGTGAGGAGATTGATCAACAGAAGTTCGAAAATGCCGAGGGCCCCGAAGGTATTGAGCGTCTTGTTGGTGTCGGGGTTGAGGAGAGGAGAGAGGGCTGGAAGTTCTGGAAGCGAGCTACCAATTAAGCCGCTTGTCTTGGCCTTGCAACGTAGTGTGACATAAATCCCGACTCTTTCCTTTCCTCCTACCCTGGATCACCACCTTTTGCGGCCCAATTTGGCAAAGTCATTCAGGTCAAGACTTCTGTTCTGTCTTGGTTTTGATTCGACCTTCTTTTTACCCATTCATCTCCCATTCTTTGTACACATTATCCTTATCCACCATATGCATTATACACCCACTTCTTTTCCTTTTTCGTCTTCATTCTCGGTATCAACCCTGATGGTCTACCTTGTTGAGTTTTGTCGTCGACTTCACGAATGCATTTACGTTCGTCTCCATCCCTGTTCGGATTTTGCTTCTCATTCTGTCTGTTGCCCTTCCCTCCGCTTCTCGATTTCTGCAACTTTCGTTTCGGGCTTTCTCTTTGCATGAATTAAATTGACGACATGACTGGAAGGACTGCTCCCCTAGATCGGTTCGGGTTCTCAAATACATCAATCACATAATACAATACTATTGCTCTACTCGGTAGAACTTTCTGCTGTTTCCCCGTACAAAGACCGGTAGAGACCTCAAACTCCACCGAAGCGAGACATGCAGCCACATATGCAACTAGTCAATGAGAGATGCTTCACTCCCACAGAGGGCAGTAGGGTGACTGGGAATAGCTTCATTTTGGTGGAACTAACCTTTGTTTGGTGCATGTAGTTTTAGGATGATTTACGAGCAGGCTAGAGTTGTAATCGAAGGGGCAAAAAACTGCAAAAAAACAAAAAGAAATGCAAGCCCCAGGCGCGGATCGAACGCGCTACCTTGCGATGAATGCTTATATTGCAATCGCACGCTCTACCAAATGAGCTACTGGTGCTCTTATTTGGAAAAATTCAGCAAAGTTGGCTTCTTCTGGTAAACAGAATTTACTCACCTCGTCGCTGTGGAGACATTGACTTCCAAGGTTCCAAGGTTAGTCAATTGGCTGAGTTATATAAATTTAGGGCGGCTCTAACTATATAACCTAGCAAACTTGCAACATAAAACATTGTATAGTGTTGGAAAAATATAGGCTATTTTACTAACAGACCACAACAAAAATCAAGGTTCCTGTTTATGGGGGCCTTATTCCATTCTGACATATAGTTATAGATGGTGACCGACAAGTCTTGTTTCCTTATAAGTTACAAAGAAGGTTCTCGTCCGACTATTGACAACGATTCGCACTCCATTCAAACCTTTGAATTTTGATGAATTTGTCTCACATTTAATTGAATTATTCGATTTCTAACCCGCCAATGCAACCTTAGACTGGCGCTAAATGATCATATTAACGAGACTAACCAGCGAGAGAATACTAGAAGCTCCAAAGCTTCCAAGATTTCTCATAGCTTCTTAATATTATTCCATAAGGCTTCGCTGGCCCTGTTGCAATGCCATAGGAATCTTCTCTAAGCACTTAGCAGCAGCAGCAAAGAACCCGAGAAAGGCCTTGCTCGGCCGTAAGACACGGCTCATGTATTCAGGGTGGAATTGCACACCGACGAAAAAGGGATGATCACGGATCTCAACAATCTCGATACGCTTACCGGTAGTGTCTTTGCCAACAACAGCAAGACCGGCCTTCTTAAGCCCGTCAACCATATCCGGGTTAATTTCGTACTGGTTTCGATGCCGCTCTTCAATCTGGGAAACCATGGGGCCATACAACGATCGCAGCTTTGACCACTCGGTACCCTCCGTGAAGATACATGAATGCTTGCCTAGACGCATGGTGTCACGGCCATTCTCTTGATTGTGTTCAGGCATGTGGATGATTACATGGTTCTTGGATTCTGGGTGGAGCTCTTGGCTCCCAGCATCCGGGATACCCATGACTTGGCGGGCATATTCAATCACTATGAGCTGCATGCCAAGGCATATGCCTAGGAAGGGCTTTTTATTAATCCTTGCCCATGTGATTGCTTTGATCATCCCGCCGGTGGCGCGAGTACCAAATCCACCAGCCACGATGATGCCCTTGGCGCTACAGAGATCGTGCCAGGCTTTGTGATACTTCACTGCGGAGTTCTGATAGGTCTCATCCTCGAGATGCGCGGCGTCAATCAATATAATTTTGACTTTCTTGTGGCAGTACATGGCTGCGTGTTCGATCGACTTGGAAACACTGAGGTAGGCATCTTTATTAGAGATGTATTTTCCCACCAGGGCGATTGAGACTGTGTCGGTGATAGTATCTTGACTTCGAACAAGGTAGACCCAGTCACTCCACATGTGCTTGCCTTGTTCCATACGCCGGGTTGGTGTTCGATCAAGTGGAAGTTCGAGATACTCGCAGAGGATGCCGAGCAGATTCTGTTTCTCGAGGAGAAGCGGTACGTGATATGTAGTTGATCCATCGTGGACGGAAATGACCTGCTCCGGTTCCATTGAGCACATATTGGCAATTTTCTGGATGGTGCCTGGACCCAATGGCACCTCGCAGCGGCAGGCAACCTTTTATTAATTAGTTTAGAATGTATGATTCGTACATATGGATGAAGAGTGGTAGCATACTAGAAGTGGGCTCAATCCAGCGCTCCGAACGTCGGAAATGGATCTCTGGGTCGGCTTTGTCTTTTGCTCACCAGAAGCTCCCGGCCTAGCCTGATGTTAGCTTACACTTTCCCCCCTTGAAGCAAGAAGAGCTTACGGCACGACAGGGACATAAGCTACGTGGATTTGAACGAGATTTTCTTTGCCGACCCTCTTTCGAAGCTGTGCAAGAGCGTAGATGAAGGGAGAACTCTCGATATCACCCACAGTACCACCTAGCTCAATGATACACACATCGGGCTCTGCTTGGGACTCGTCCACGGGTATCTTCGCTGTCCGTTCGATGCATTCCTGGATGGCGTTGGTGACATGAGGCACCACCTGAACAGTTCTACCTAAGTAGTCACCGGCTCGTTCCCTAGAGATGATGTCTAGATAGATCTTCCCAGTCGTGATGTTATGACAACGCTTTAGAGTGGTTGAAAGGTAACGCTCAAAATTGCCAAGGTCAAGATTTATCTCACCACCATCATCCGTAACATAGATCTCTCCATGGCTAGGTCAGTTAGTACAGGGCCTGTAAAAGCTGCATTAGATCGGTGAGACTTACTGAAGTGGGCTCATAGTCCCGGAATCGATGTTGATGTAGGGGTCTATCTTGATAGTGGTGACGATGAACCCTTTGCTTTGCAGCAGTAGACCTGCGCTCGAAGCGACGATGCCCTTCCCTGCTCCAGAGATGACGCCTAGAAATATCAGTCTCTTATATCATCAGGGCTCTTATACTTCACGTTAAACGTGAAGTATGGAGACTGCCCCGCTTTTCTCCACGGGGCTAACGGTGGAGCCACTTCCAAGGGTCTGGTAGATCACTGTTGAACTCACCTCCAGATACCACAATGTACTTCATCTTAGCACTCTGAGGGTTGAAGTTGGACAGGAATATTGATGGAAAGTAAGGTACGAAAGAGAGAGAAATAAAGCTAATCCTGATTGGGAAACATATATAAATGACATGTGGGGTGGCAGAACAGGCACCGCCTTCCTTTTTGGACAGTTTCTTCTTTCAGCCTCTTCTTTGGTCATTTTTTTTGTTATCGGAAGTGAGAGGATTGGAAAGCAGGAGTGATCGATTTGCCGCATGTGTCTGTATGGGAAGAAATGTTGTCGCCCGAATTTTGAGGCGAAATTCGGATGCACCTTAGTTAACTATATGGTACACTTGCCATCTCAACACAATATTTATCAATACTGTACATTGTACAGCAGTATAGCCTCGTGCACCATCGGCTGAATTTGGATATCAATATCCCTTTAGCTATAAATCACGATATTTAAAGCCTGGAGGATGTGACTAGTTACAAACCTTAGTATCCCGAGGTCCCGATCCGACCTCGGGAGTATCCGACGTCATGACTTCTCTCAACTCTCAATACTCAATGTATACCAATTCATAATGCATGGTGCAAGAATTAAGCGAAGTGAGGAGCACAAGAAATTGAAGAGCATGATCCAACGAAAATGTTCAAAAGATGCTTGTCGTGATTAGACACCCGCCTCCCAACATATCGCTATGTCAGTAGATCCCGGACATGATGATTCGCATGCGGTGTCCACAGGGTCCATGATGCCTCTGTGGAGACTACTTGTCAGGTCAGGTCCAACAAGAACGAATCACACCCTACGGTCATGCAAATCACTCTGTCCAAGACAGGGGCAGTACTTTTTCAAAAACCTTAACCTTCTACAGTATGGCTTTTTATCGACTCTTTTCGCTCCTCTGGAACTCTTTGCTATTTTCTTGTCTATAGGTTCTGAGTCGTCATGAAGCCTAAATATGTGTCCGGCGCCGGTCTCGCGACAACTCTTGCTTTGGCGACATGTTTAGCAGGCGCGTTGGCTGAAGGGAATGGCTCGACTGTTCCGCTCAGGCTGACAGTCGCAAGGGAGGGTGGCAACAAGTCGAGTCCGCTTCTATATGGAGTTATGTTCGAGGTGAGCAAAATCACAGCTCTATACGCAAGTCACTACGTTACTACGTTACTAAGCTGTAATATTGTTAGGAAATGGACCACTCTGGTAAGGGATTTGCATTTGCTGCCCAGGTGATTACGAGCATGACTGACTATTTCAAGGCGATGGTGGAATCCACGGACAATTGCTACAGAACAATGGATTTCAAGGAACTAGCCTTGGTCTGACTTCCTACGCTCCGGTGGGAGATGTGACAATCTTCCAGGATACCTCAAAACCCATCAGCAAAGCAATTACGTCTTCGCTCAATGTCGAAGTGCCGAACGGGGTAACAAATTATGTTGGCTTTGCCAATACGGGTTACAACGGAATTCCAGTCTCCGGCGCTACATACAACTGTTCATTCTGGATGATGGGTAACTACTCGGGAACCATCAACCTGCAACTTGTTGGGTCGCATAGTGGTTCGATACATGCAGATCACAACTTGACTGTCAACAGTACGGATTCAAATTTTACGGAGTTCAAAACTAGGTTCAACACTACTCATACACCAAAAGAGGACAATGAGTGGCATTTGACATTTGATGGATCGAAAGTTGCTGGTAGCTCGTTGAACTTTGGCTTAATCCAGCTATTTCCTCCCACTTTCAAAGGAAGAGAAAATGGATTACGAGATGACATTGCATTGTTTCTGGACGAGGTTAATCCAGCCTTTCTCCGTTTCCCAGGTGGGAACAACCTCGAAGGCTTGGAAATTGATTCTCGCTGGAAGTGGAACGCCACGATTGGACCCGTGGTCGACCGCCCAGGAAGAGAAAGTGACTGGTTTTACCCCAATACAGATGCCCTCGGCCTGGATGAATATCTGTGGTGGTGTGAAGATATGAACATGGCGCCACTCCTAGCTGTGTGGTCAGGCAAGTCCTATGGGGATATCCTCTCCGGGCCAGACCTTGAACCTTTCGTCGAAGATATCATGAATGAAATGGAATATCTCTTCGGAGACTCCTCGACACCTTATGGCAAACTGCGAGCCCAGAATGGTCGGAAAGATCCATGGAAGGTTGATCTCATTGAAATTGGCAACGAAGATGACTTGACCCGTGGCTGTGACACCTATCCGGATCGTTTCAACCAAATCTACAAAGCCATCCACGACAAGTACCCACACATCACGTTTGTTGCTTCCCATGGGAACTATTCATGTCTGCCATCTCCGCTTCCCAAAAATGTCATCATCGACCTGCATCTGTATCGAGCACCAGACGACTTTGTCAAATTGTTTGACCAGTTTGATAATCAGCCCCGGAACCAACCAGTGATGATTGGTGAGTTTGGATGTCGAAACACGACAGAAGAGACAGGAACATACTGGCCATACATGCAGGGCAGCTGCAGTGAGGCTGTGTACATGATTGGAATGGAGCGCAACAGTGATATCGTCAAGATGGTGGCTTACGCACCCTTGATGCAGCACTTTGATTTCGTCTCTTGGTCGGTAAGAATATCTATCCAAAAGACGTTAGACAAATATTGGGGAATATAGCTGACCACGCCATTGTTATTCATAGCCCACCCTATACGGTTTCAATTCGGCTCCCGACTCTGTCACGCCTTCGGTTTCATATTTTGTGCAAAAGATGTTCGCATCCAATAAGGGTGACACCATTCTTCCAGTCCACTCATCGGCAGGATTCGGACCTGTTTACTGGGTGGCTTCGAAGACAGATTCACAATACTACTTGAAGCTGGCAAATTATGGTCACGAGCACCAGGATGTTAAGGTGAGTATACCAGGAACCAAAACTGGTAGACTGGAGATGCTTGCTGGGCCCAAGTACCATGGCGACACGCCTGCCAATGTGCAAATCCAAACTGTCACCACCAGTGTCTTCAATGGGCAAGGGAATTATACAATAAGCATGGATCCTTGGGCTGTCGCCGTTCTGGCGGTCTCATGAACGAGATGATTGTATATTCCAGCTTTTGATGTTTTATGCGAGGTGTGCATTGTTCATTGTTCGAAGAATGCCAACATATGTCCCATAGACCTCAAGATCAAATTTCTGCATCTTACTGATAACTACATCCTATAATATGTCTAGCGATATAAATAATATTCAACCCAAAATCTCCACCGGAGCCTCAACAACCTTATCACGTACATAATCCGCAAACCCCTTGCCAAACCCATCCAATCGACTCGAGCTGCTAACACCCCGACCAAGAATTCCATAGATTACAAAGTGCACAGCATGAATGTGCGGGAATTCCACTCTCTCAACCAAGAACGACTCATCCCAGTCATCATCATCAACCAGCATTTCTCTCATTTTTTCAACGCTCATATAAGACCGCAACCAAGACCAGTGAGTAGCATTAGGAACAAAAATTCCAAAGTTGAGATTAGATCCCTTGTCACCAGATCTGGCAAGAGCAATATCTCCCAATCGAATAGACCGAGTTGGAGATTTGAGGAGGGTAACTTCATCGCTGGATGGACTGTGGTTATAGCTGGCCCGTGGCTGTAGTTCTTTATACGCTGGTGGATGACCTGTTGGAAATGATATGATAGAATCGGATCCATCGATAAAGTTGATCTCCTCATTGAGATCGTCTTGCTTGACTATAGCAGGATAGTAGGCTAAGAATGGACGTGGGACTGCCGTACGCATGTCGAGGGAGCTGTGGAACCCTGAATGGTCATAGTTAGCTCGGAGTATGGATTGAATATAACATATTCGTTCGCACCTGAGAAATGCTTGAGAGAAATATCTTTCATTGCTCTTCCGACAGCGAGAACGGCGTCGGCTTCGACTGCAGCAATAAATATCCGTAGGTATGTAGTGCTTTGTCGCTGTGAACGGGGGTTTGGGGCAGGGACACCGATTCTAGATATTTATACGTTAACACCAGTTCAAGCTGAAAGACGAGATAAAGTCACCTTTGGAATTCAAGAGTGTCAATCCGATCAATGGATTCCTTCGCAATGAAATGGCGGAGTTGTCTTTCGATCAGATCCCACTTCTCATCAGTGCCATATCCAGTAGCATTCAGTAGAAGCTGAGCCTCGAAACCACCAGGATAGAACACGGCCAGCTTGGTGGTTGGAGGAGGGGCATAGCCCCGTATGCCATGGATGCGAACCCTAGACGGAGTTTTAGTGAGTAGATCAACACAACGATGAACGGGGAAAAAAAAAAAAAACTTACCTATCCTTTCCAGCTTGTTCAACAACAACATCATCCAGAATGGCACTAACATCACTATTCAAGTAAACGTTTCCTTGAAGCTCATACAAAAGTTGACACCGAACAGTATCAACATTAATGATACCACCAGTGCCAGGATGTTTTACAACAACACACGATCCATCAGCATCAATCTCCGCAATGGGAAATCCTGGCTCAACAAACTTATCGACCGGGTGCTGGTCAAACCCAGAGAAATTGCCGCCAGTAACATAGGCCGAGCACTCAATAAGATGACCCGCCACCAGGGATCCAGCAAGACGGTCATAATCCGACTCCGACCAGGAGTGCCAGTACCACGCTGCTGCAATGACAGGACTAGCGTCTGCAACTCGGCCGCAAATGATGATATCTGCTCCACGACGGAGTCCGTCCACGATTCCCCGGGCACCGAGGTATGCGTGTGCTGAGACCATGGGGACGGGCTTGGTGGTGTTGGTGAATGCATAGGTGAGAGGGCTAGGTTTGACGAAAGTGTTTCCTGCATCCAGATGCTGGAGTTCTTCTGCAGATTGCGGCATGTTAGGGCCGAGTTTGGCGTAGAGATCATCTCCTGATAGGTAAGCTACTCGCAAAGTGAGGCCTTTTTGGTGGATCTGTTTGTAGGATTTAGTATATAGATTCACGGAGTTCGAAGAAGAGGGCACTGACCAATTCGTGGACTTTCAGAGCTAGCCCTTTGGGGTTGAGAGCTCCTCCATTTAGTACGACTTTGATGCCCTTTTCGGCGATCACGTCAATGGTCTGTTGGATCCCTTCCCAGGCTGTCTGCTCATATCCGGGATGTTCGCCATGTTGAAAGGCCTGGGCATTATTCGCCATGTTGACCTCTTAGCTCCGTTAGTCCTTAGTGCCTCGGTCATTATTGCTAAGCAACGTACCCGCCAGGTAGTCGCCTGTGATAAAGTCGACATCTCCTAGAATGGCTTGGCGATACATCTCGTATGCAGGATCACCTTTTGTACATTAGTACTGTTGGTTGGATTAATTTAGGCGTTCTGCATACCATGATAGCCTGAGCAATTCGCGACTCTGACTGGTCGGCTATTATCACTTGGATTGGCAGACATTGTATAGTGTTGTAGTGTTGTATTTTTGAAAATTTCTTTTTTTTTTTTTCTTCATAAGATATCGAGTTAGGGTTGGTTTTAAATTAAATCCTTGTAGAATATAACTAAATAGTTGGAATTGAATCCATCTACTAATATATTCTGGTTCTTTCCAACCTGAATCCCCTCGGCTGCAGAAAAGAGCACCGAGGCAAAAGCAAATCCACGGGAAGTCCGTCGAGTCACAAACTCCGTGGGCCGTGGAATTATGCTGGTAGTCATTTCCCCACCGATTGAGCCAATTAAATAACAGTGATGGGCGTCGTTCAAACCAAATTAAGGATTGTTTGCGATTGAGGCTGACTTCCGTCGAGATTCTCCCGTGGGCTTTTTGCTTATCCCTCCGTGGCGTTTTCCAAAGCGCCAGCTGCGGGGGGGATCACATCACTTCGTACCCAATTAGAAAGGGCTTCAATTTATGGACCAGTAGGATCTTGTCGCGATTGTTGGTAAGATTTGGGTAATGTTCAAAAGAGAATACGAGTTGGTGTGTTGTAACTGGGGAGGCTTAGAATTTGCCGTAATTTTGCCCGGGCAAGTATAAATGGGAGGGGAATCATCGGCGTCGGTGTATTTCGTGACCGGTGAAGATTCACTTAACAATCGCCATTGTTACTTCCTTTGTCCCCTTTGTTCTATTATACCTTTGTTTTTCTTCAAGCTAAAATGCACGAGACTATACCCGGAAACGAGGTATACGGGCCCGGAACCTATATCGACAAGACCGTCCTCCCTGTACCGGAGGATTCGCGCCGACTCTTTGAACTACTGGCGTCACGAACACCCGGTTTTACAAAAGACACTGCATTATGGGATACTGTTAGCTTCGAAGGCCGGCCGGACCCGATGGTCCCTGGTCCGATGAAGTCCCCCGTCGTGACAGCGGCTCTACATGCCATGTGCGGGTTAGTTGGAAACGAACTCCTTGAGTTACGGGATGGAAGGCCCGCCAAAGAAGCCAGCGTGACTGTAAACACAGATCATGCTGGAATTTGGCTTGCATCGACGTTTACCGCATTCGTGAATGGCAAAGATATCTCGACTCTGGCACGGGCTCGCGAACTTCCCAACATCTTCGACAGGGACTTTGAGAAGGGGTTCGGGGTCGGTCCGTTGGCAGGCCGAGCCACTGCACTATATCCCACCAAGGATTCCGGGGTGTGGTATCAACTCCATGGGTCGCTGGATGCAAGCAAGACGCTCTGCTCGATGGGGATCAACATGGATGTGCCGTTGAAGTCGTTCCAGGAGGGATATGAATATATTCGGGAACATGTACAGAAATGGAGTCCCGATGAACTTGAGATGCACAATGTGAGACATGGATTATGTGGGAGCATCTGCTACTCACCCGAAGGCTGGAGGAAGACGGAAATGGGGAAGCGGCTTGCGGAACACCCTCTCGTGAATTACACGCATGAATCGTATGCGCAATCGACGCCGTCGGTTCCCTTAACTCAGCTCCCCGATCGTCGGCCTCTGGCTGGAATCAAGGTCGTGGAGATGGTGCGGATTATCGCTGGTCCTACTGTTGGGGTAATTCTCGCATCGTTTGGTGCGGATGTCATCCGTGTCAATTGTAGTAGACTGGCGGATTTGAATGTGAGTGAATTGGACCTCACTTTTTGTCTCGAAACAAAATGCTGATCATGCCCAACAGGTCCTCCAATTAACTCTCAACGCCGGAAAACGCACGATTGATCTCGATATTGGAAAGGAGGAGGACATGGCCCGGCTCAAGGAGTTGGTAAGCGACGCAGACGTGTTTGTCCAGGGCTTCCGGTACGGGTCACTAGACCGGAAGGGACTCGGTCTGCAAAACATGCTGGACGTAGCAAGTAAAAGAAACAAGGGCATTGTCTACGTCGATGAAAACTGCTACGGTCCATCCGGACCATTTGCCGAAAGGCCTGGTTGGCAGCAGATCGGGGATGCCGCATCGGGTGCTTCATACGTGATGGGTCGGTCGTTGGGATTCAATGAAGGAACTAGTGTTCTTCCACCGCTTCCGATCTCTGATATGACTACTGGCGTTGTCGGTGCTTTGGCGACAATGTTAGCTATTCGGGATAGGGCCCAGAAAGGTGGCTCGTATCACGTTGTGAGCTCGCTTGTGGCGGGAGACGCGATTCTGGTGGACCCCGAAGTTGGCCTCTATCCCGTTGAAGTGGTAGAAAAAACTCTCGACACGTTCAAATTCGCACGCTCATCTCCGGATCAGTTCGTCTCAGAGATTATGATCCAGGTTATTGATGGGTGGAAACGGGTTTTCCCGGAATATCTTGCACAAGACTCTCCATTTATGATGAGCTTTGAAGATAGCCCATGGGGGCGGATGGATATGTTGAGGCCCGTGGCCAGACTAGATGACAAGGACGCAAGTCCTATTTGGAATAATGCTCCTGTTCCGAATTGCCATCATGATCAAAATATCACCTGGCATGATCATTTCGCAGGAGGACTTTCTGGATTGTCATATTAGTACATACGATATAACTCCATGATAATCATATTCAAATTCACAACTCTCCAGAGCTTTCAACTAAATCATTCACATCAAAACCATAAGCCGGAGGAACACCTGCTAGCATGTCTTGCCAGTTCCAAGAAAGAGGAGCGGGCAGCGGCAGTGTCCCTGTAGTATAGAAACCTTGGTCTGTAGACATCAAGTTCGAAGACTGGATGGTGTTGGCATCATTTTCAGTCGCTTGGGAAGGACTGAAAAAAGGCGGGAAAGCATTCGGGGCCAAGTATTCATTCTGTGTCCATATCTGCCCCTGCGGACGAATGGCAACTGGTTGATTATCACTCGTGCGCTCTGGATCGGGGTTTCTGGCCCGATGCAACTCTTTCCTGGCTGCATTTTCGAAGTCAGTGCACAATGCCAATACATAGTCCAAATATGTATCTTGTTCTTGGGATGCGACTCTTGATATGAAACTGACAACCCGATGTATCATAGCAATATCCGATTCAGTGTCAGGACGCAAAGGATCAGTGAGGATTTGGGAGAACAACGCAACCAAAGCTGCTCCTGGGAAGTAAACAATGCTCCTGCGTGATACATTAGAGACTAGCAAAAGTTCGACACATTAGATTAGCTTACCATTCAAATGTTTGGCCGTAATGTCTGCGGACTTGACTGATTAGTTCAATCGCCGCTCTTGCTGCTTCTGTTGATTGTTGCATTGATCTCTCTCGGTCATTCGACAGACCCGAGGGACTGAACCGCTCACTCTGTGGGCCGGCCGGCCAGCGCCGAGGAAGTAGACAAACTCGGTGGATATTGAGGTAGCAACAATGGTATGCAAAGTGAAGTCTGAGGATGTGCGGTAGGAAGGTATGGTGGCCGATCGAAAAGTTTCTTCGGGGCTGGAGGATCGGTGGGATACTTCGATTCCATGCTTCGAGATCGTCAAAGCAACCCCTCACATCTTTCATCAACTGTTCTTGGGTCTTATTGAATGCATCGGTGCTATAGAGCTCATCGCAAACCTTCCGTTGGATCACAGCAAATCGGGCGAGTGCTGAGAAGAAATTGATTGTGGAATTCCCGATCTCCATTACACCTAAGCCATCAGGTGGGTTCTCATCAGGCAGTAAAGTATTGTAATCGCGAGTATCTTGGGCAGCAGGGCGGCCGGTCCTCTGACAGATGTCGGCGTCCAAAATGAATGCTATCCAGAAGACTCTTTTCCGCTCTTCGATCTGGGACACCGGAAGACCAAAAGAGTTGGACTTGTGCAACCCAATGGATTGTGCCAGCCGTACAGCTGCAGCGGTAAACATGAACAGAGGTTGTGGGTTTGGCGTCCCTTGGAAGAAGATTGCCAGCCCAAGAAGCGCCTGAACAGCGAGGAGATCGCAGGTTCGCATGAACAACTCTGTGACCACGTTCATTGCGTTTTTCACATGACCCAAGCATTTTTGCCAGTCGTCGCTGCTGGCACCGGAACTATCCGCCCTTTGCATGTATGCAAAGGCAAGGACAATATTGAATGCAGCCCACCATGAGGGACTTTCGTTAGGATTCCATGAGAAGTGTCTTCTGACCATTCCCATAAAACTTTCGGGCCCGAAGAGCGGCAGGGCCTTGTTGAACGTGTCAAAATATTCTTGGACAAGATTTAAGATGACCGCCTTGGATGGTAATGGTTGCGAGCATCTGCTTTGAAAATCATCTTGAAGAGCTCGAGGATACCAGTCGGCTAGCCTCCATCGACTGCTGTTTCTCTGAGCGACATGGCGCCATACATTATTACCTGTCTTGCTTTCAAGCCAGCCCACACCCTCAGGGGCAACGATCGAAAAATGAGAGGATGCACCTGGGCGTAGTCGGTAGAATCAGCAGCCATTCGTGCGACCATTGAGGAACGATAGTCGGTGAGCCAATACTCACCAAAAAAGCGCATTGCGCCTTTCGGAGTTTTAATGGTATATGACCCTCCGTCGCCATCGCCTCGATCGGCCTCGGCCTCGAAAGATGCTTGAGCGGTGCCGTTTTTCGGGGATGGCAACTCTGAATCAGATGCTTCTGAGGGTTGGACATGGTCTGGACCTGTGTCTTCGTCACTCGGCAGTCGCCGTCTCTTGGACGCATGTGCTTCATTCAATTCGTCTTGTAAAGACTGAATGCGCTGCTCTAGCTCATGGACATTTCCCCCGCTGTGAGTGAGTGAGTGAGTGAGTGAATATGCGTTAATTTTAAAGACCCAACAAGCAAAGTAGAACATACCGGTTGTGTCTTTTCTTGCGTCGCACGGTGTCTTCGTACTTGCAGGGTAAGTCGAATGTTCTGCAGGGGACACAGACCGGCCGAGTCCCATCACATTTGACCTTCTTCCGCCTGCATATACTGCATGCCTTTGTAGCGTATGCAAGGTCAGCATCCAATTAGGGCAGTCGTTCCCTCAATATATGGGGGCCATGGGGGCCATCTGGGGGCAAGTCTATACCTTAGCAAGGCGTACAGCGTTGCTGGTATTCCCATCCATGATACAGAATAATTGTATAGTAGCACTGGTACTGTTGTCAGAATTATAATCCCTGCGCGGCTCCAACCATCATGATTAACAATTGTAGGCCGAGGCAACATGAGGTTTCCGGCTGAGATTCAGGCGTTAAGGTGTTGAGGTGTTAAGGCATTGATAATGAGTCATCATTTATGCCTCAGGCCAAATAGTATATGCTAAATCGAATTTAACACTTCCCCTAGGTAGTCAGCTCTAAGTCACAGCCTGTGATTCCAGTAGACTCTGTAGTTAGGACTTCTAATTATGTTTATTCCCCGCGGGATATCCGTCGGGGAGGATCAACGGCCTTCCGAAGAAGTGGCCTAGAACATTTACCTGGGCATTCTGGAAGACTTATATTTTTGAACTTTCTAAATCAGTCTGCAAGGTGAAACAACGTCTTTTTCTGAGTTGTGAATCTAGACCGCGTTCTTCTAATCAACTCTATTGCGATAATGTCTGTAGATTTTGAATGGGAATTCTAGATGGAAATCAGTGCTATAGTAAGTAGGTAAACCAGAGAACTAGTGCAGAAGCCATGATCTCACTGTGTTAAATTAGACCAAAAGAGCAATAACATCTTACCATTTATCAGACCATAAATAGTATGGTATGAATCATTTGATTCAAATTGAGTGATCCTGTACACCTTGTGTTCCCTTAACACAGGTTCCGTCAATGTACTTTGATGTTTGTGTATCAGGAATTGTTCGAGCTCGCGAAATATTTCTATGGTTCGAACATGGTCACTGAATTCATACGACTAGCTATCCCAAAAGAAAGAGAGAGAAAAAAAAAAAAAAAATTACGCAAAGTTATGGCGATGTAACGGGATGTTACTCTGTACAACAACCCAATCTAGCCACATCAACTAGCCGCGAACCATAATCAAGCCTAAAGGCATAGCTGATAGAATGATTGCTCACTGACAGACACGACGATTGGAATATTGTTTCACGATTCAGCTGTGTCTTGGGTATCTGCTTGCGCCACCTTTGCTCTACCTCCGGTGAATGGCTGTGGTTCAGGTCATTGTTACACTATTGTTTGCATCACAGACTAGGCCTTCCAGACCAAGGTTACTCTTTCTTTAGGAATTAAATCCAAAAGCAATGTAACCGTAAAACAGGAGGGAGTTCTATCGGCCAAGCCGAGACATATATCGATCAATGAGAAAAAAAATAAAGGCATGAAGACAAGCTTGCTGAATCTATTGGCTGACTTCGAGCTTGTCGCGATGTTGCTGTTAATATTGTTTCAAACGCCTCATTGCCAAGTAGCAAATACGGTTGCAACAACAGGTCATTAATGCAACCTATGGCTGGATTATATGCTTTTATCCGGTTATTTTGCAGGTACGGTGCTTCCAAAGTCGTATGAACTTGTCCGACAAGGCAAAAGATCACTCCAAACATTCGAACTTCAGCACTTCGGGGTTCGGCAACTCCCAGATATAAAAGCAACAGCCCATCCCTTTCAAGCGTTCTTCTTTCCCTCAGCAAAACTCAGCTTCATTGCCATTCTCCAGCAATATAATCAATAAGTCCAAGAGTGCCCCGAAAGCCCACAATGGTTGTCATCGGTATCCAATCTCTCCTCTGTGTTCTGGGAATTGCTTCCCTTGGCAAATCTGCCGCAGTCGGTACCAATACTGTCCAAGGCTGGCAGCTTACCCAATACTGTGAGTTGAGTTAAAGCAAAGTTCCGCCATCTCAGTCCAGACTGACACAGAATTAGGTGATGAGTTCTATACTGTCAGTAATGGAGACACCTGCTGGGACATTATCGCGCGAAACCAGAACAAGTTCACCATGAGCCAGCTTCTATGCTGGAACAACGACATTAACCCGTGGTGCTCGAATCTGATTCCGGGCCGACAGGTCTGTGTGGGAGTCCAGCATCCTGGGCCTGTCTGCTAGATGATGAAGTTTATGGCTAGGTTGCTGGCATTATAATTCGAAAAACCAAATGCCTGGCATCGCCGAGGTCTTTAATCAGATTGTCTGATGGAAGTAATGAGAGAGTGATTTTTGAGCTCCGAGTCCTTTTGCGCTGTTATTACAGATGGTCGTTCATTAAATCAAATTGTGAAGCTTGTTGGTATTGAGAAGTTTATGCACTGTTTCTGTTCCAGGCTTTTTGTAGGAATTGCCTCATTGTAATTGGCTTCACCTCTGGGAACCGAGTATTGAGACGATCACCCGGCAATTGAAAGACATTGTTGACTGTGAGTCTGCTCACCAACGCAGTGACCTCTTTGAGCTCGTCCGATGAGTATTCTATTCCATCTGGCTGGGGAGGGACGGTGACATCACCAGCCTTGATTTGCTCCAGACTATCGTATGTTACCTTGAATTTCTTGCCTGTTTCGGAAATCATTATTAGGTTACGGGTGTATCTAAAATAAGGATGTGCGATTCGCTTACCGGTGAATTCTTCCGCCATGCCGAGAACCTGGTTGTAGGTAACTTCATCTCCAACGATTACAGTGAATTCAGGCCATTCATCAAGGTCCAGCGCTTTGACCAGGTAAGTAGCCATGTCGTACGTATATGTCATACAGATCATGTTGTTCCCATCTCCCGGGATAGCAGCCGCGCCGCTGGATATGTCAATACCAAAGGTGAAGGGCTGCAGGTGAGTTTGGACATGTGGCATTCCCCAATAGTCCATAAAGAAACCAGGGATTACCCTGGTATATTGTAATCCACTAGCCTTGAGACGATCTGCCGCATCAAGCCAGTATTGAATGCTAGGGTCAATCGGGAGTAAGCTGGAACGTTAAATATCAGCATGAAATGGTACACAGCTGAAGCTGGCTGGCCTACTCGGTAGTTTGGACGAATGAGTATTCACTGGGGATGAATCTTTTCGTCGATGCTGACTTCTCTGCAGCTTCGATCAAGTTCAACTGAGATTGACTCGTCTCATCAGAAACAAGACCAATGGCGGATATGATGGTATGGATGTTGTGTCGCTCAAGCACACGTGCCATTGAGGGAATATCCTCGTAGTTGATCTGCACATTTTGAACATTCTGCGAAGAAAGGTCCTATTTTACGTGAGAAGAAGGTTAGTTACTTTCTCAAGTGGAAAATGTCTCATTTAACATACACTGCGAGATAAAACGACAATGTCAAATTTAGAGTCGAGCAATTTTTCAACGATAGTTTTGCCCACTCCACCGGTTCCACCAGCCACAGCAATGACCGTCATGATTGAGAAGTGTTTGATGGTCGAAATAGTCGAAATAGTCGAATAGTCGAAATAGTTGGAAGTTGCCACGGAAGAGGTCCCCGCGATAACCCCACCAAGCAGGTTTTCACGCATTTACTGCATCTACATCTACTGTAGAGTCTAAAACGTATAATTAACTGTTTATGTATTTAGAATTCCTAATCTATATACTGCCAAACCCCAATCACATCGCTCTGAAAAGCACACATCGGGGATTCGGGATCCAGATATCGGCGACTTCAGGGCTTCCCCCGGAGCCCGCGCGGTCACGGCTATGACTAATATCGGAGGGAAAGAATATAAAAGCCAAATATTCCGACGTTTCCACTTCAGCAATCTTCCCTCTAAAACCAATATACAAATCCTATATCATCATGTGTATGAAGGCTACCTGCTCGACCTGCAGTAAGTTTTCACTATCTCTCTGTCCAAAACAGCAGCTGATAATTATTACAGACAAGGTCACCTGGTGGGGCTGTGGAAGCCATATCCCTTCGGTGATGGACTCAATTCCCGAAGGCGATTGGTGTGCCTGCACACCTCAAGTTGAGAAGGATGGGAAGAAGTACCCTCCCAAGGCGGCGAAGGCCGGCTGACTACAAGGCTGTGTGATTTGTTAGTTTGAGGAAGTGAGTGTCGCATGTTTTTGAAAAAGCGTTGCAAGGGACTTGTTATCAGGAAAGGTTGGTGGATTGAAATTCGGGAGGGGGATATGGAGCGGTGGCGTTAATAGAGTTTTAGGAATGAGTGCGAGATACTATATGTCAATTGGAGCAGATATATAACAGTGTAAAAGACAAAATCAGAAACAAGATTCAAATATGTTTAATATAAAATGCAAGGATTGAGAACCACCCAGAATCTAACTATCAAGAGAGCAAGTAATAAGCAAGCAGGTCAATTACAGATACCAAAACGACACTTAAAGAACCCCTCCCTTTCCACCTTTTCTTCTACCTTTCTTCACTGGTGTATTCGATGGTACCTTCGCTGGTAGTGGTATTGGGGGTGGCTGCACTGGTGCCGGTCTTATGCCTTATTCTGTTCTAGTAGGAAACGGGCTGGGTCTCCACCTCCCGGAGCTGCAGGAGCGGTAGACACAAATGGCGGTCCCGCTGGCACAAAGCCGTCTGGGAGGGCTGGCAGCTGCCTGAGCTCCTTGTTATTACAAACATAGAGAAGTCCCTGTCCATCTGGGCATGTTGCAGTGTAGAGCGCAAACCGCAGGAAAGGTCCGGAAAGAATTATTCCAAAGTGGTCGCCCGTCCTAGATTGGATGACACAGGCCTGTATTTTCATCCAATGGCACAAAGACTGATTGTTGACGTCAACCAGCCGGACATCAATCTCCACAACCTTGGGACAAGTCGTGGAGCCAGGGATGTCCATGAGATTATAGCCATGAACTAGAACGGGAATACCGAGCGATTCCAACTGGTCGATATAGCATCGAGGTATCGCCATGATATCAGCACCAGTATCATGGCACACCCGTAGGGTGAGGCCATTAGCGCCAGGACGTTGACTATCGGCCGATATATTCACCGGAAACTATGCAAAAGGCAAGAGACGAAAGCCAGGAAGAAATAATATGCTGAGAGATCGATATAGATACTATACCTCAATTAAGTGAAGACTGGTAAATGGTGCAAATGAGTGAAACGCTGCTAGACTGGCATCACCTGGTGGCTGAAGCTATATATTCCATCTCAAGTCAGAAACCAAGCATAGTATTTGCATTCAGTGGTGCTCAACCTACACCTTCCATCCACCACGCTTAAGTGGTATCGTATTCCCCAGCCAGTTTCTTATGAAGATCCGCGTCGGACTTCTGGGGGTATTGAGCTGCACGCCCTTCGACCAGTAGCTGACCCATCCCCTCGACCATCCCAATTTACCTTCCCTGTAAGCTTTGATGATAGCCTTGACATTAGGAACCTGATTATCAGGGTCCCCGTTGGTGCTGAGATACTTCTCGATGTTCTTCAAATGCTCCAAGCGCCGAACAATGTCCCAGATGAGTCCGGCAGGTTCAGAATGGACCATTTCATCGCGAGCAGCCCTTCTTCTCTCGTATTGTGACAGTCTGAACTTGAAAAAGTTGGGCAAGATTCCATCGCTGATCCTCTCTATAAATCTCTGGACTTGACTATCGATGTCGTTGACATCGAGATCTAGCTCGTCGGCATTCCAGCCCCCCGGGACAAGAGCTGGATCGGTGATAGGCCGGTCCCCATCGTGTTTCCATCGCTGTTGTCTCCGGGGACGTGAATACCCCTCATCCTGGCCATCTTGAGCCATCAAGCTGTAGTCAACATAGTCGTGGGCCCCTGGAGCGAGCGGCAAATCGCTTTCAAATCCATCTGACGAGAAATCAGAGGGAAAAAGAGAGCTCTCCGTTCTACCGTTGGCCGGTTTGTGTTTCTTGGTAGATCCCCGGGGGTCTACAGGGGGCTGACTGTGAGTACGCACGCTTCGTGCTACGGCTAGAAGGCATCTTGAAGAAAAGGTAGATGAATTTTGCGGCGCGGCAGGAGAGGGCCAGGCAACTTGAGATGAAGAAGCATTGAGATGGATATATAGATGAAGATATTTGTAGTGAACATCCTGGAGAACTGAACCAGACTGGTACAAAGAACCACGATGAATTGAAATGACCTATGGAGTAGTGATCTCTGGAATTTTGGTGTAGATAGGAACGAATCGATCGATGGAGCCATTTCCAAAAAAAGCTATTTTGGATTTCCAAAAGCTCATCTATTAGACGACAAAGAAGCCTAGGGAGTAATTCTAGAATCTCGTGCGTGCAGCTCATCAATAGAAATTACTCGACGATGAAATGTGTTCTCTCTAGAATCCAGCCCTTGGGGTAGCTTCGACGTTCTTTATCTCATCTCAATGTACCCGCAAGTCCCATCCAAGATGGAAGGCTCGGAGCAAAGAAGATGTCAGAGGATCGGGCGTCTTTCCAAAGCATACCAGGGCAATAAGCAAGCGCAATATGACCAGGGTTGCCATTACAGTCTGGTATAGAGTAACCCTTTTGAGCTTCTCGCTCGCCAACTCCAGAGATGTGGAAGACTTGCGCACTCTCTTCGATCTGTGGTGCTTTGACCAGCCATTGATACTTTTAGGAAGGATAATATCAACAGTCCGTGCAATGGCTCAAGCAAAGTGGAATAGATCAAGCTTGCTTGTTAAAGGCTTACAAGTACTGAGCCAATGGTAACGAATGCGGAATTCGGGAGTGTCCATTGGTTACAACAGAGTGTATCACTTCTTTGCCTCGACCCAAAGCATCATTTGAGATGGGATTGGTGTGAAAGAAGCAGTGACAAAGAAGCTGGAAACCGGGTTTCATGTCAGTTACAAGTCCATTTGTACGTTCGAAGGCACGACACATGAGGCTGGCCAACGAGCTTCGGTAGAGTACTTTGTAATGCCGACGGAAAAGAAAGAAGATGGGTCCCAAGATGGAAAGCGTGGCCAATAGTTTCTTTCATATTGGAGGGACACCGAGTGAATGGATTTGGGGTTCTGACTATGCCCCTCGGGGTGTGAACTTGCCTCGTCTCCAAGATTCTCAACAAGGCGTAAAGCATCGCTGCCTGAGGGATCAGTCCACATCTCCAATGTGCCCTCATGAAGTGGACTTTGGGGAAAGACTAAAATGACTGCTATCAAGCATGTACCAAATACTTCTTACAGCATACGACATTTTACAAACACCTCGCACACGAGAACCAAAAACTAATCCATAAGCCGTCAATTTCTAACCAGTATGCACCTTGATTCTTTCTCGATCGTTTCCATACGTGAATATCATGTAGATTAATCACAAAAAAAGCGCAGAAACGGGGCAATTTTTCCGACCTAAAAAACAAGGAACGGTCGTACTAACACGAAGGGGATGACAGGAGTAAAAAAGAAACCGTGAAGAAAGGGGGAAAATAAAAGAGAAAGAACATGCCATTACATCAGAATCTAAGCCTTGATCGCTGCACCCAATGCACCACCACCGAACTGCTGGCCACCAGGTCGGCGATCGCCCTGGGGAATGCGGGCACCGCCACGACCACCGCCACGACCGCGACCACCGCGGCCGCCACGGGCACCGGGACCGTGTTCACGCTGGAAGGCGTTGGCCATACCCTGAGTGCGCTGCTCGAGGGTCTTTTCGTTGGACTCGAGAAGGTTGGTAGACTTGTCGGCCAGGGTGACAATCTGGGACTGGAGACGGGAGAGCTCGACACCCTTGCGGAAGATGATGGCGTCGTTGACCTGGTCGAGAGCGGCGGCGAGCTCTTCGTGCGAGATCATGCGGGAGATGATGGAGACAATCTTCTTAGGCTCGAGTTCGAACATGGTGGCCAAAGAAGAGATGGAGAGGCTGTCGTAGTAGGGGGCGTAGGTGAAGAGGTAGGTGCGCAGACCCTCCTCTTGGGTCTGGCGAGACAGCATGGCCTTGATCAACTCGGGCTGGGGCATGAGGTCCCAGATCTTGATCGCGGCGAATGTAGAGGCGGAGAGCTTCCAGTCACCAGCGGCAAGAGCCTTGGCTCCAGCAATAACACCGTCACGGGTGTTCTCGGGGGGACCGGTGAAGACCTGGCGCTCATTGTAGTCCAACATGCGGCGGAAAGTCTTGGAGATCATGCGGCGGCGCAGCTCGGGGGTGGAGGAGGTCTGAGCCATCAGAGGCACCTCAAGCAAAGCACTGCTGGTGAGGTAAACGCACTCAAGCAACTCGAGGTTGATGTGCATGTGGAAGGGCAGCTGGCGCTGGCGTTCCAGACGCTCCTGCTCGGGCGAGACAGTGGAGTAACGTTGCATGATGATACCCTGGGCAAGAAGCTCCTTTTGGCGGCCACTGCCGCAGATCTCGCCAAGGGTGTTCTGGGCCTCGTAGATGAGGCCAGCACGGAAGGCACAGAGACCGATCTGAACAAGGGTGCGGTTGAAGAGGATCTGGGTGCTGACGTCGAAAGTGGCGATGTTTTCAGTCAGATGAGACATGAGCATCAAGTCACGAGACTTGTAGTATTGGTCGTGCAGAGCAAGGAAGTAAATTTGGCAGAGCATGGCGCGAGCGCGGGGAATGCCATCGCTGTGTTCGAACAGGTAGTTGCAGATAGAGGCCACGAGGCTCTGGATATCCCCAGACTTGTAGGTAGCAGTGACTGCTGACTCGATATTTGTGGGAACTGCCTTGTCCTTGGTCTGCTCGACAATGGCAATGACATTCGCGGGCTTGAAGTAGATGTGTTCCAACCGTCTGATAACCAGTCTGTTCATGCTGTCCTGGCCATTCTTATCGGCACCCTTGAGGCTCTCAACGTAGAGCTGCGAGCGAACGAGGGAGGAGTAAAGTGCCTGCTCATCTGTCAGGCGTTCAATGTACTCTGAGGTGTGGGGGTCAATCTCGCGGAGACCCTTTGTGAGGCTGTCGTCGAGGTGCTCCACAAGGGATACGACGGATCCGGGGATGAAGAAGATCTCGCCCTCAGCAACAGTAGGTTGCTTCTCGTCGTCCTCCCACTCGTCGGCGACTTCGCTGACAAGGAATTGGCGGTTCTCTTCCAACACGGAAAGGAGAGCAGAGTATTCCTCGTTGGCGGCCTGCCATTGCTCACTTGACATGTAGGTGGCGGTGGATGTGGCAGTAAGATCGAAGCGGGTGGAGATCAGGGTCATGTAGGTGCGGATACGTTGGTAAGGAGTAGTGGCAACCTCGAGGAGCTTCTGCATGGTGCGGATCTGGTCGGCACGGTCGGTGTTCTTCTTTCCGCGGGACTCAACAATGACACGGAGGTGCTTGAGGATGCTTTCGGGGGTGTACTGGAGGGTCTTGCCACCACGTCCGACAGTAGCGAATCCATCATCCTCACCAGCAGCAGCAGCGGCGGCAGCAAAGTTCTCGATCTTCTCGACCCTGGTGGGCTTGGGGGCAGGGGCAGGGGCGGGGGCAGCCTCAACCTGATCCGCCATGAAGGCATCCTTATCGGCGCGGTACTTCTCGACCAGGGTGGCGTATTCCTTGTTGTTCTTCTTAATCTTCTGCTTGACTGCGTTGAAGCCCTTGCTGTTGCTAGCGTTCATCTTCTTGTTCGAGGCCTTCTGCTTGGAAGCGGTCTCGTTGGTGAAGTCTTCGAGTTCGGCAACGGCCTGGATGTAGACCTTGGGGGTGGGGCCGGTAACCTTCAGCATCTGGCGGTTCAGGTTGTCGAACTCTGTGTGGGAATCATGTCAGTTTATGCCGTTCCTCGGGCCTTCCAATTCTGCTGGCTCTCTGGTCCTCCCAGGAAGCGAGCGAACTCACCAGTGGCAATAACAGCCCAGTCGTTGATCTTCTCGGCGTTATCAATCAGGCGAATGGTGCTCTCGAGGCCCTCGAGACGCTTGTCCTTAGCGGACTTCACGACTGTAACCTTCTCCTCCTCCTCACTCTCCTCACTTTCGGAGTCATCGTGCAAGAACTTGGAGGCACCGGTGCGACCCTCGTCGCCCTCCTCGTCGCTATCGGTGCTGGAGCCGGAGTCGGAGTCATCAACGTCAGAATCTTCCTCGCTGCCGGAGCCGGAGCGGTAGACCTCCTCCTCCTCATCAGACGAGCTGTCGCTGTCGCTGCCGCTGCCGTAAAAGAAACGCGACGCCATGGTTGCGGATTGCGGTTTCGTTAAAAGGAAATGGCGATCCTAAAGCTGAAAAATCAGGTCGTCGGCGATACAAAGTTGAAGTTCCCGCAGTTGAGAGCCACACACGAAATTTAAGCGAGGGGCTGACTAAACCTAATTAGGCATAGCGCATAACAAAGAAATAGTGATGGCCTTTTTTATACTTCTGTTATTGCTTTGACTTGCTTCGACTATTTGCTGAATTTGAATTTAGTACGGAGATATCTGAAAAAGAAGTTTGACTTACTCAAGCAGCTTTGGAATCGCGAAATTTCCTCTCATCTACTCTATATTGGTTACTGGGAAGAACGCCTGACCGATCAGGCACAGGCCGGCACAGAAATCTCTATGAAATGAAACCTTTGAAGCTGCACTCATCAACTCATCACTATTGTTCCATTCATCATTCGACTATTAACTCTACTATTTACTGCATACCGAAAACAAAACGAGGAGCCCCCTGGAAGAAATGCCATGCCATGATATACGACCGAAAAACTTACCTCGACGAAAAGAAAGAAAACCGAATTGAGCAACATCCCCACGATCCGAATTAATTGAAACAGTTACGAGATAAAAAAAAAAGAAATGGATGAGATCGTTCTTTCATGCTCCATCCAGGCTATGCTGAGAGAGAAAATTCACGAAAAAAAAGCAGACAGATATACCGAAGCACTGCCTACAGAGATTGCAGAAACATAATTGGGATCGTAACACAGCAAGAAACGTAATGAAACGCAATGAAATAGTGATGATGATGATGATGATGATGCGGGGAGTGATATCTCGTGGCGAAGGATTTGGCCACTGATGGGCACAGCTC